CCACTTACAAGATGTTTATTAAGCCAATAAAGTTGCATTGCTGTGACTCTCAAACCACTCAAGAAGGCACACAACCAAGCATTACGACTAATTACTGGAGGAATGAAGGCACACAGCATTACGACTAATTAATGGAGGGATACGGCCAAAACCAAGAGGTGACTCTCAAACCCCTCGAGAAGGCACACTACCAAGAATTACGACTAATTACTGGAGGGATTAAATCAACACCCATTGATGCAATGCCATGTTCAGGGATGAAGGCACACAGAGGTGACTCTCAAACCCCTCGAGAAGGCACACTACCAAGAATTACGACTAATTACTGGAGGGATTAAATCAACACCCATTGATGCAATGCTAGTTACAGGAAGCACCACAATAGGTTCCTGCCATGCTCCTAGTTACAGGAAGCACTACAATATGTTCCCACTCATAGTTACAGGAAGGACCCATTGATGCAATGCTCCTAGTTACAGGAAGCACGACAATATGATTGATGCAATGCGCCTGGTTACAGGAAGCACCACAATATGTTCTTGCCATGCTCCTAGTTACAGGAAGCACTACAATATGTTCCCTATCAAAGAAAAGGCCTTGATCCTGTATGAGAAGCCACTGTACATTCCCATGGATAAGTTCTTCAGCACCCATGAGTAACGCAATCTGGTCTAATTCAGAAAGCCATAGAACTGAAGCAAGCATTACAAATCGACGACAAACGAAAAAAAGCCTCTCTCTCCCCAGAACCCATTAGCAGACACTGATGTAGTGTGTTGCACCCAATTGCGACCCATTAGCAGACATTGATGTAGTGTGTTACACCCAACTCCTCGACGTAGCAGACATTGATGTAGTGTGTCGCACCCAACTGCTCGACGTCAGACAGCAGACATTGATGTAGTGTGTCGCACCCAACTGCTCGACGTCAGACTCTCTCCCCATGAACTCATTAGCAGACACTGATGTAGTGTATTGCACCCAACTACTTGACTTCTTCGGGAAATCAAACACCCCTCCAGAGCAAATGCGCTCACTGGCTGAGACAATCAATGTCAAACATACAGATCAATGGATCCAAGTCTTCACTGATGGGTCATACATGGAAAGGCTCACTGGTACTTGAGACAATCAATGTCAACTATCCTGGTCATTCCAAGTCTTCACTGATGGGTCATACATAGAAAACCAAACAAACGTTGGTGTTGCTGTCTATACCGCGGGATCTGCTATTGAAGGAGATATAGAGGCCGTTAGGATAGCACTATGCCAATTATGTTGCCTGGATACGAAATTCACCAAAGCGGTGATACTTTCGGACTCAGTCAGCAATAAACTAAATTGGAAACAGAGAGACACCCAAAACAGCTGAGATAAAGGAATGTGGAAAACTCTATTAGCTGCTGAGATAGGAAAACTAAACAGTGGAAAACGCTATGAGCTGCTGGGAGAGAAAAACAAAACAGTGGTTCAACAATGGATTCCTGGTCACTGTGGCATTAAAGGCAATGAGCTTGCTGACACACTTGCTAAGATGGGGACAACGATTTTGCAATGCATGGATCGGCCGATATCTTTTCACACAATGAAGGCCTTAATCAGAAGGTGCAACGAACGGAAAGAGAAGAAACAGTGGACAGTGGCATTCTCCGATATAGCCGACTGGCCATGAATCGAAGCCGTTGCTGAGTTTAGACTACGTACCGGACACGATTGCTTGGCAAAACACCTTCACAGATTGGGAATATACATTCAACCCACATGCCCTCTATGTAATCTACAGGAGGAAATGGAGAAGACCCACCTGATTCGGTGTCCAGCCCTAAAGACAAGAACGGAAAGGCATATATACTGGGAAGCAAAAAGATGGCTAACGAACTGCTTTTAATTAACACCGACACAAAAGTCCTCCCGAAGAAGTTGCAACTTAAAATTCCATTTTTGTGAGGAAGAATTCACGAAATCAGCGATCACAGTATAATTCTTCGTCAAATTTGTGAAGACAAAAGATAAGAGGGAAAAGATTGGCATGCAAGTACAGAAATTAATTAGAGGTTTAATTTTGCAAAACAAATGGAACACGACTGCCTTTGCACAACTTATCTTGCATTAACAATTAAGGCGATAAAGTAGACATAATCCTCAAGTATTTTTCTATTTCAATCAAGCAGAAACTGATCTCCGAATTTTTCGAAGAAAGGGGAGGAACTCCTTGGGAGATATTTCAACGGTTGCAGCCATGATAACAAAGGGAGAATAGCCACACATAGGTCATTGTGCCCTGTAAGATACGGCATTATCGTCAAATCTCGAGATTCACAATAGTTAAGGCAAATTTCCAGGAAAGAGGTTTAAAGATTCAATTATGAAAATTGGAGAACGACCAAGACTAAACCCGCGAAGATATTAAAACGCAATCAGATTACTAAATGATAATCGAGGGGATCTCTTAGCCAACTAACAGCTAACCACGCGGAATTCTATGTTGTTAATTTTTCTATAACACTTCACAATAGACGCTTCAGGAAAAGTATGAAAAATAAACCCTTCCTATGAAGAAGCACATTTTGTCTCCAATAATGCCAAGCATTTTCGTGGCCACAGAGAGAAAGAAATCACCACATTAAAAAGGAAAGGGATTTTTACACCTAAATGAGTTCAATTTGTTATCAAATCATAATGATAGGCCAGATTTATCCATCAAGGCGATCAAGAAGACCTCAAGAAATAGGCGACATTTCTTGGAAACTTGTTGACCCAATTTTCGGAGATACTTCTTTCAAGAATAATGCTTTTCGATAGGAACGCTTGAAAAAACCCACTGCCTGAGTCTAAAACCTCGGTAATTTTAAATAAATAATGATTAATCAACTTCAACCAACTTGGTAGGATTATGGACAAAGCCTCATAAAACTTTAAAACGCTTCTTCGTTTTCACTTTCAGAGGTAACATCTAAAAATGAAAAGAAGCATTATTTAAAAAAATCACAAACTTGATTAACGGGTAAATGATGCTTTATAAATGAAAGAAAGTACGAATGAAAAAACTACATATGATATTCATACGATCTTACACCAGGCACGCAGACATTCAGCACAATGTGATTCATTAAAAAGAAGCGGCATGTTCAACAATACATTTGCTCATATATTTAATCCAAAATCGAAATCAAAAATTTAATGTTTTAAAATTCTAATAACAATATAATATAATTTAGCAAAATTGAAAGTAAATATTATATTTAAATAAAACTTTTCTTCGAAGTTATGTTTTATTGTTTTTCGCACTACGTTTCCTATCATGCACTAAAATATAACTCCAAGATTACTAAGTGAACGAATTTCACATATTTAAATGCTCTTTCTTTGATTTTTATTTGCAAGTCATCAACTCAACGGATGCTACTTACCTCTTTTCAATATTTGAACCCAAACTCTTGGGTGATTTCCTTTAAAATGCTCTACCATTTTCTGGTAATATATAACATAAATAAAGATCAATTAATATGAATATGCCCAAATCGTTGTCATTAAGTGAGAATGGATACTGCCTTGCCTGTCAAATGCCCAAAGATATTGGAGCTCATTGTAATGTCAAGGTGTGTTGGAATAACTAACTTTGAATTAGACTCCAAATAAGATTAGAATTGGGAGTGATTTGTGTTATGATGGAAAATCATTATGTTTTGATATAGTAGTCAATATATGAGGTGGGAGGATCGAAATGTACAATTGTTGGTGGCACATTGATAAGGTTATCAATAGGAAAAGCACCAGCGTATGTCAAATCAACAAAAATGGGGCCACAGTCGCAAACATCAAAGTCGCTTCCACCGCCAACATTAACAACATTGCTGCGATACTGCCAATTACGTGACTGCCAACATTACAATGCACAGGTACTGCCTACATGCATTGACAGGAAGTTCAAGTGCGAGGGTATGTTTGATGCATTTTTATTCATCCACAATAGGAATGTCAAGTGTATTTGTGTGGATGCCGATTCAATTCTGTATCCGCTGTTGTATACTCAAATTCACATCATGTTTTTCAATCCCAATGCATCCTCTTCGGATTGTGGCCTTCGCGGATGCTTCGGAGCAATCTAAACTACCACAGTTGCCATGGTCTCATGCGTGAGACTATTCAACAGACACCCAACTCAGAAAGGATGCATTTGGCGGTAAGTGGGCGATGATGATTCCCTTCTTGAGATTGTCCTTTTGCTAGGTATTGAAGATAATGTGATAATGCCACTATAACAGTCATGGTCTCCCTAAGGACTCGAGATGCAATCAAGCAAGTATTTCGCTGAACATTTTCAGTTAATGAGTTCACGTGTCTACTTTTAATTCTTCAGTTGCAAAAATTGTCGCTCTCCATTTTAATGATAAATATGTGCGTAAATATAGTGATGGGATATAAACGCGGACACCTAGGAAGAAAATCGGAGGCTTCACAACATTAGTTAGCGTTAGGTTCAAAGTCTAGAAATCAATAAATGGATCAATTTCGCACCATCCCATAGCATAGAATTCCGACTATTGTATCAGATTCGCAATCACCAGCAAATTGTTTGTTGATATAAAGACAAATATACCATCAATTATCTCTATTAGTGGTCGACCCACAACCACATTGTGCTTTAGCTTGACCTCTTGGAACGAATTCGTCCCAAGTTGACCAGATTTCAATTTTAGATACATCAATTTGTTTCAGACCCAGACCTGCCTTTGTACTGCTTCCACTAGCTATGAATCCGTCATAACATCTCTTTATTACTCAGACAATTACGCATCCATTGGCTCATTTGTAACCACAATTGATAGAGCTATATAACGCGTTAAACTGCGTTATCATTTATATTAGTAAAATGTCCTTCTAGTGGTATTGATCTTCAGCTATTATCACTTTTTACTTACATTGAAGTATAAATACTTATTGATTGTTTGGATCCCATAATGTGAATTATTTGTCATTCTGGAAAACTGTTGAAAGTNGGTGAGGGGACAAATCACATTTTCTTCAAATCAAGCACGCTTATGAGTTCAACGTGCTATTGTGCACATTTATGGTCATTAGTGGGTACCAAAAATCTGCAGATGTTTCTGAATTGTTGTCATTTCGGCTTGGCGGACTACTTACCTTGAACACAGTGATATGCTATCACCCACGGGATTTATGCATTGAGCAGAATTTCACCTGTTGTGCAGAATGGTGCTCCATAAACCCCTTTCACTGGTTTACGTGGCCTCCAAAGACTTGAATGTGATATGTACTGCATCCGAAGTTATTCTCACTTCCCCACTGTCTCCACCATTACATATAGATCATTTGGTTAAAACATCAGTGGGTCTATTTGAAAATCATCGGCCCCACATTTCAAAGTGGACATCTTGACATCGGCTCGATGACATGCAGTCTAGTTGATACACTTGCATGATTTTGTGTACTGTCACACCAAATACCCCACATTTCCACTTTAGCAATTGGCAATGCATGTTTAGCAATATGCTTCATTCAAATTTTGCCTAATAAACTTTGGCGGTTACTCTACGACACGCCACACCGTCGAGTTAACAACTAGAACATAGGATTGGAGGAATAAGGACATTGTTATATTTCTATTTAGTGAAAATAGAAGTAATTTCTATCAGTCACTCACCAAATTGACATTTCAGGTTTAGAGCACCAAAGAGCATGATCTTGATGGAATCTCAATTTCGCAGCTGACTCTGCCGCCGGTGACGGTACCAGTAATTCAGCCATAGTGGGCTGCATGCGGTACATCATACTTGGTTGGTCCACTAACGCAATTACTCAAGCACATTTGGCATTAACTATTGCGGATACTAATTGCTGCAGTGGGGATAAAGTGACTACCAAAATAACTCTGCCCAAAAAGGTGTATGGGTAGAGTGAGAGACCATAATACCATGTGCACACAATATTTTCGTCCGATTACCTCATAAAGCAATACTATGCACACTTATAAGTTCACCGTGCTATTGTGCACATTGATGGTCGTTAGTGGGTACCACAATTCTGCAGACGCTACTGAATAGTTGTCATTTTGGCTTGGCCGACCACATACTTTGAACACAATGATATGCTACCACACATGGTACCATGCACGTGGTTAAAATTCACCAAAGGTGGAGTCGAGCTTCTTGATACAGAGGAAGGATATGAGTTCATGAGTGGAGATCTCTCTCATCTAACCACTTCACAGAAGCCACATGCACTTCAACAGTGACTAAGCTCTGTGTCAATGTCACTCAAACACGACAATCACAATTCACATTAGGCATCTCTTTCCCACATATCGTTGAAGCGGCTCTGCTGATCCGATTCAAGACTCTTTAATCAAAGTTTGACATCGGTATCGATGCGTTTGACGATGTGTCACCTCTTATTGACCACCGTTCCATCGTGAAAACTGCATTTTGAAATTGATCAAATTGACAGGCATATTTTTACACAAATCCAAATACGCTTATTTCATTGTAGCAGTGCTGTTGACAAACACGTAATGAGACAATCATAAGTAGGGCTTTGTATGTGAGATTTTTAATGAATTCGTAGGACATTTAAAACTGTTACAGGTCTCAGAGTTCAAATGATGCTTGGTTTTAGGCTGCCAACAAGGTATTGTCATCACTTCAAGCTATTACTCAAACTGGAGATCACAAATTATTAATTGCTTATTCACATTGACACGGCATGCTCTTGAGGTTTATTTTCTATACAGCGCTTTGCCAATGAATTTAGAAGTAATCTGTTTGTCGGAAAGCTCTACTGTTAAGATAATAGTGGGAATATTTCATTTTGTGTTTCAAACACGAGTCCACTGTTGTGGCAACCAGTCTACCTGAAATAGTGCATGGGATATCTACAAAAGATTATGGTGTAGATTTCGAATTAGTTAACAACTTGTTAGTTAGTCGAAAAGCTCTGTTCTTCAAGTAAAACCATAAGTAAGACTCTTTCTTAGCCTTGATCAATGCAACGTCATAAAAAACTCAGTAAAACTGGCTACTCATATTAATTAAAAGGAGGAAATAGGGAAAGAACTGAGTATAACGCATATAAAAGAAGTAAATAGTGAGTTGCGAGCATATGAGTCGAAACGAGACTCTTGAATGAGCAGAGTGAAGAGATTCGAAACTGACTGATTTAGAATTGTAGCGTTGCAACAAGAAGTGTTGAAGAAAATTTGGAAATAAAAACGCATTCTCAAGGATTTTATGTGTGATTATCTAGGGGTTGTGAAAAGTATCTCCATATTGTGCATATTAAGCACATGACCTTAAGAATTGCAAAACGGTTCTGCTTCAGAAGTTCTAGTAGATGTAAGTTTATGGCTGACTCCAATTTTGGCAGCCTAATACCACCTCATTTCCAAAGAGTTGTAAGTTTTAAATGGTAATACGCAAATTATCATGAGTTGAAGAAGAAAGATTTCAGCAGAATTATTTGAGAAACCAAGTGGGCTTTATACGTGAGACAAATGCAAATTCATGCTCAGCACAGCAATCCTTTTTCAAAGTGACAATCTACCTTTCTATGAGAACACATTAACCGCTTCATTATCACTACTTGTTCTCATATGTGCAAAATAAGCCCCTCACACATCATTGGAGAGGGATATTTTCATTCTCTCCCATCCTTCTCCCAAAAATTTCTAGTATTCATACACCTAGTTAGGCCAGCTCTAATTCCATAATTTACAAATTCGGCATCAGTCCAAGAATGAGGTTTTTGGGACATTTGTGTCGATATGCAAATATTTCACAATTGCCTCATGTCGATATCATTTCATAAGTCGAAGTTACAAGCCCATTGTTATTAAAAGATTCCAAATTATTAATTGCCCCTTGCACTTGTCAACTTCATTAGTGCCAGTACGGTTCTCCGATCTCAAGGATAACATCCTATTACACTTTGTGATAACTAAATTGTTCAATGTGCTGTTAGTCATGGAGCTGAGATCGACACCAAATTCGTTTCTCCTCCAAGCTACGACATTGTCAACAGAACTCGTGTATCTAAGATATACCTTCGTTTGAGTTCGTCAATGTTCAACAGTCAGCAGATGTAATCAAATTTTCCACATTCCACAACTTACATCCGCATAAATTTAACTGGAGATGCTACACAGTCTTACGCTCTCGAGATAAAAGCTAATGAAGAGATCTGTCTTTGACCTCTCATCAATAATCTCTGCATGACTTAATGAAACCTCAATTGTACAGCAATGAATAAGCTCTGTGTCAACGTTAACTCAAACACATCATTCATAAATCACACGAGGGGCCTCTTTTCGATTTATAGTGAAGGTGGCTTAGCTCATGCGATTATTTTAATAGGAAAATTTCTTTCTTAATAAAGTTTGATTCGAAACGCATATGTTCCGCTACTTGGCAGTCGGTTTCATAGTGGAAGATGCTTTATAAATTTGAAAAAATACCAAATACATCCTATATTAACAGTCACACCACTAAACCCTACCAAGTATGTGCATTTGAATTTATCAATGCTATTGACATATGTTGCACAAGGCGACATATATGTAGCAAGGACATTGTTTGCACAGTTATAAAGCAATTCAGAAGATATTTAAAACTGGTAGGGCTCATGAGGAGAGAGGGTTTGGGTCTAATGTTAAGGGAAACCTTGGAAAGCACCCCGACAAAGAATTTTCATGCAGAGTAGGGCTTTGCATTCTGATCACGAATGAAGAGTACTTGTTTTCTCAATGATTTCAGCTTAAAAATCCAGCATCAATTCATACCGAATTAAATCAAAAACTTTCAATTTACCAGTTTTGGGGCAAAAATATTTTCATCCATGTAGTAGTATTGGGCTGCCAAAATGTGCGTCAGATATTAGTCCACATCTACAAGAGCTCCTATTGCAGAACTGTCTTGTAATCCGTCAGGTCATTTGTCTCAAATACCCGGTATATAATAGTTAGCCACAACTCATAGATTTACACATACACGAACGACAAGAATGCGTTGTAATTTCTTCCTCACTGTAACACTTCTTATTGCCACAGTACCATCTCAACTACGTAAGTATCCACAATGTTAATACACGATTTACTTATTTTATCTGCATTTTTTCTCATTTTTGTTCATTCATTTAACATTGGTGGTCCCTGTTACTTAGTATAAGGTGACGTTGCATTGACCACGGAAAGAACGAAGTCATCGATTTACTGACAAATTATAAACTATTTTTTGATTGCACTCCATAGCAGTTTGAAGACATCCTTATCATTGATTCAAGTGGACTGTTCCCACCAATAGTGGTAGATGTTGCCAGAACCCTCATTGATGGCCCTGAGAATTTAGCACAACTCGAGTTTGAAGCATGCAATGAAATATTTACACCATTATCTCATCTGCAATTTCTTCTAATAAGAATAAGTATTATTATTGCTAATTCATTACCAGCATATTAAGCACATGACCTTAAGAATTGCAAAACGGTTCTGCTCCAGCAGTTCTAGTAGATGTGAATTAATAGCTGACACCAATTTTGTTAGCCTAATATGACCTCGTGCCTTACAGCTGGTAAGTTTCAAATGGTAATAGGCATATTGTCATGAGTAGAAGAAGAAAGATTACAGCAGAATTATTTAAGAAAAAATGTGAGTTTTATACTTGAGACAAATGCAAATTCAAAATCTGCACAGCTTAGCTCATGCGATTTTTTAATAGGAATATTTCTTTCTTAATAAAGTTTGATTCGAAACGCATATGTTCCGCTACTTGGCAGTCGGTTTCATAGTGGAAGATGCTTTATAAATTTGAAAAAATACCAAATACATCCTATATTAACAGTCACACCACTAAACCCTACCAAGTATGTGCATTTGAATTTATCAATGCTATTGACATATGTTGCACAAGGCGACATATATGTAGCAAGGACATTGTTTGCACAGTTATAAAGCAATTCAGAAGATATTTAAAACTGGTAGGGCTCATGAGGAGAGAGAGGTTGGGTGGAATGTTAAGGGAAACCTTGGAAAGCACCCCGAAAAAGAATTCCCATGCTGATGATGAAGAGTACTTGTTATCTCAGTGATTTCAGGGTAAAAACAAGCATCAATTCATGGCGAATTAACTCCAAAACTTTCAGCTCATCAGGTTTGAGGCAAAAATATTTCCATCCACGTAGTGGTATTGGGCTTCCAAAATTTGAGTCAGATATGAGTCCACATCTACAAGAGCTTCTATTGCAAAACTGCCATGTAATCCGTCAGGTCATTTGTCTCATATACCCGGTATATAAATGTTAGCCACACCTCCTAGTACTAAACAAACACGATCTACAAGAATGCGCTATTATTTCTACCTTTCTGCAACAATTCTAATTGCCACAGTTCAATCTCGATTACGTATGTATCCATAATGTTCATAATGATTTATTTATTTCATGAATGATTAATTTTCCCATTTGTTCATTCATTTAACATTGGTGGTCCCTGTTACTTAGTATAAGGTGACGTTGCATTGACCACGGAAAGAACGAAGTCATCGATTTACTGTCAAATTATAAACTATTTTTTGATTGCACTCCATAGCAGTTTGAAGACATCCTTATCATTGATTCAAGTGGACTGTTTCCACCAACAGTTGTAGATGTTGCCAGAACCCTCATTGATGGCCCTGAGAATTTTAGCACAACTCGAGTTTGAAGCATGCAATGAAATATTTACTCCATTATCTCATCTGCAATTTCTTCTAATAAGAATAAGTATTATTATTACTAATTCATTACCAGCATAAACAGTTTGTGGTGGGTTTTCTCTAATTGTGTTGGACCTAGTGACAAATACGACACTAATTGCACAATTATTGAAAATATTATTATCATTATTTCAAATGGCAGGCTTTATGATATTTATCATTAGCTCTGAAAAATTGACTTCAGCTTCCCCCGAGGGTAGGGGGGTACATTTAATGCAGTTAATTAATAGCAGTTCATTAGCTGTCTTCTTCGTAGTTTGTTTTCTCTCTAATTGTGTTGGACTTGGTGAGAAATACGACTAATTATATGAAATAAATAGAGAAATTTTTTCCCTTCATATAGAGTCAATTCCGCCTCCAAAGAATGTTCATCTTCGCCAAGTTGGGAACAATGGAGCTAATCTTACATGGAATGAAGTAACCTCCCCTAGGGTTGATGTGATTGGATATATGGTTTACTTCCAAGACGGTAAAAAAAATTGGACACGTTTTGCAATAAAAAAGCCGCAGTTCTTCCTACCATTTAAGAAAAATGTATTAAAAGGGTCAATCTCCGCTATTTGTAGACGAAATATTACTAACATCACCATTTTTGAAGGAGATAGATCAGAACCAATTGTAATTCACAAGATCCACCGAAGTAAGTTCGAAAGCCCAATTTTACGAACCATTACCAAAATGTATCTATTGCTATGAGCAGTGTGTGGAGTAATGAATCCAGTGAAGATACACTTTCCTAGTATAATTTACAAATCTATGGTTTATTCACATTCAAAGTGAAGTCACTTGAAATGACATATTCAGAATTGGGCGTTCTGGGTTGAGTCACCTGGTTCTTTTGAATGGTATCTTTGGAGAGGAAGGGTACTGGACAGGTGGGGTTGGGGGAAGGATGGTAAAAGGGGAAAGAGTAGGGAGACCAAATCAAGAGTTTATTGGAACAAGGTATTAAGAGAGTCCCCATTTTATCTCATCAATGTGGCTAAACTCAAATTTTATACGCACAAATATCACAATGTCAAATAACTGGAAGAGGCAAATTGTTAAATATGGAACACTTGACAGGTCATGAAATAACTAGGAGAAATTGTGAAAGTGCATATTTATTCTCTCTCTCTCCCTCCCTCTACAGAAAAAATTCCACCACCACGAAATGTTCAATTTCTGCAAGTTGGAGACAAGTTGGCACGCCTTTCATGGAATGAAGTGACCTATCCAGGAGTAACTGTGCTTGGATATTTCGTTTTTTACAAAGACGGTAACTTGGAATGGAAACGTCATAGATCAAAAGCTTGTGAAGTTTTTCTTCCATTTGAGAAGGAAATGTTAGAGGCACAAGTAGCCGCCTTTCATGGTCACAGGAACAAAGTTCTAGGAGAAAGGTCAAACTCGACTAGTATTCAAAAGGATCACCAACGTAAGTTATGGTGTTAATTTTTTAAAAAAAACATTATTTAAACGTATTTATTCCATTGAGCAGAATGTATCTGCTAAAATGAAACATTTCCTAAATATTTTATAAATCTAGTGTTCATTCACCTCCTAAGCTTTGACATTTGAAATGGCATGCTTCGAATTTGGTGTAATGGAAAAAGATCCCTTGACTTCTTGAAGTGATCAATGGGACATGGGCGGATATATAGTTGGAGAGATATGTGATGGGGTATGTAGAGGGAAAGAGGAGGAGAGAGACCAATTCAAGTGTTATTTGGTGGAAAATATTAAGGAAGACTCAATCTTAAGACACCACATGGACACATTCAGAAGTTGGTCCGAGTTAGATGCCTCTATGTCACGGTGGTACACAAATTGACTCACCTTTCACTTCTTATAGACGCACATGTTCCTTTTCAGAGACAAGCTCCAGCAATGTGTAAATTATACTTTTTGACATTCCGGCGGGAAGTACGCGTTTACAACTCCACAATTGCTACATTAGTTCTGACAATAGCTTATTTTCCTCTCAAAACTCCTGTTCCAGACGCCGAGACTCAATTGTTTTGGAAAAAGTGTAAAGCAAATTTAGAATTCTCTCGAGATCAGCATTTGAAGGAACTTGAAATAAATTCAAATGTGTGCTCCACTTAGCAACTCAATTCATGCAAATTAGTTGATTTACAAAACACATTCTAGGTATTGACTGTGGAAATACATTAAGACAAATTTGTGCATGCATTACAAGCGATTGAAAATTTGGATGGAATCATTTCAAAGTACCAGTTCCTTCACAGTGCCTCTTCAATTTCAAGCATTCGTGCCCACCCATTCGATTCACTCATGTGCATCACACTACACTACGCTGTGATGCAAACTTTGAGATTTTAGACTGTCACAAGAATCGGATTCTCGTATTAATTCTATGAACACATTTGAAAAGATATCCTTAATGTCGTCAACACTGGTAAGTTTGCGAGAGATGCATTATTGAAATCGTTGTCACAGCATCAATTTTGCGGTTAATTACACAGGGAGACCTGAAATGCTCAAATTTGTGGCGAAAATAATTTCGCTGAATTAAATTAGTACAGTCAGAATGAAAAAATGGTGAAATGGCTGTTTTGAAAGAAGTAAAGTGCATGCAATGGACCCTTGGAATGTCTGTCTAATTGTCTTGCAAACAATGCTGAAAATCCATTACATTTGCAGCATTTGAATACTGAGCTGAGACGAACTTGGGAACATTCAGTTACAATGTGCCTATTGTGATATGGACATTGGTTGGAGGCATATTGCAAATATTTGCAATTCTAAGGTGGACAGAATTTGGGGGATTTTTTTTCGGTCTATGTCTTCAGTGGCATTGCCAACCTCGTGTTTTCTCCCTCCTTGTAGAACAAGTTCCGCGTCCAGACTATATCAAATTGATGCAAGTTGGAGACAATCTGGCACGCATTTCATGGAAAGAAGTGACCTATCCAGGAGTAACTGTGCTTGGATATCTCGTTGTTTACAAAGACGGTAACTCGGAAAGGAAAGGCCGAAGATCAACAACTTGTGAAGTTGTTCTTCCATTTAAGAGTGAAGTGTTAGTGGTACAAGTATCCGCTTTTCATACAAGCCTCAATGACCAAGGTAGCGAAATTCTAGGACAAATATCAAATGTGTTTGGTATTGTAAAGATCAGGCGAAGTAAGTTCTTGAATTTAATATTGGAAAATATTATTTAAGTAAATTTACTGTATTGAGCAGAATATGTGTAGCAATTTATTTGTTAGAGATATTCTTTCCTATAGCAATTTACAAAATTAGGTTTTCCACACCTCCAATATTTATGCACTAGGTAACAAGGCTACTGTTTTGCAACATGAAAAGACTAACTTAGAAATGTGCGTGTGTGAGTGTGTGTGAGAAGAGACTGAAATCTCCCTCTATGTTCATTTGAATTCAACACATCTTGTGACGCTGCTTTCCACTGAGATGACTTCACCACATTACTCGAGGAGTACGTGAAGTTGGCCCTCGAGCTATCAGTTGACGTGGCTTACGAACGCACGAGCTCCGTCTGCATCATGAAACACACCTCAGTTCTGGGCCCGTTCGAGAGTGCATGTGACTCATTTCTTCATCCATTGCTGCAATTGCATATTAACTGTTGGGCCTGTCTTGTATTTGTAAATTAAGGTCTAACTTACCGTAGAACAGCCGATTGCCTCTTTGTCAAATGTCATTCAAGAAAGTATCAACCTTCGTTAGCTAACGACATTCCCGTAAGTCAATTGCCTTCCA